ATTCTTTATTTCCTTCTTCCTCCCTTTTTCTATTTTATTCCATTTTGCTATTTGTAAAACAAAAAATCTGTTTCTAAAAGAAACGTCTTTTAAGAGAGAGTCTTGCTCTGTAATTAAGGCTGGCTTTGAACTCATCATGTAGCTCAGGCTGCATGGCAGTTCTGCCTCACCTTCCCAAGTGCTGGGATTACGGGTATGTGCTATCATACCCAACAAGATGCATAGATACATATTTTATTTTGGTCTTTATATTTTGGGTATCTTATATAAGAGAAGTAGTGCAATATTTAAGCTTGTGAGTCTCATTTATTTCATTTAATATTACTGTCTCAGGAAACATACATTTTCCAATTAATGGCTCAGTTTCATCCTTTATAGCAGAGTAGTACCACGTTTTGTTATTCCATTCACCTTTTGATGGACATAAAGGCTGCTTTCAAGATTTAGCTATTTTAATTGTGCTGCTAAAAACATGGGTGTGCATGCATCATTGTCTTTAACTCTTTGGGGAACATAGCTAGAAGGGGAATAACTTTTAAATAAAATTAGCATTTCTAGTGTTTTGAGGAATCTCTATACTGATTGCCATAATTGCAACTAATTTACATCCCCTTCAACAGTGCATAAGGGTTCCTCTTTTGCTGAAACCTCACCAACATTTTTTTATCATTTGATTTTTTTTAATGACAGCCATTCTTTCTGGAGTAAGATGAAATTTCACTGTTGTTTTTAACTTGCATTTCTGTAGCCAAAAATGTTTAAGACTTTCATGTATTTATTGGCCATTTGTACTTCTGAGAGGTATCTATTCATTTCAGTTGCTCATTTTTTGTTTGGGTCTTTTATTTTGGAGGCCTAATTTTTTAAATTATTATTTCTTTATACAGTAAGCCCCCAATTTGAAAGAGTTCTATTCTGGGGGAATTGTTTATAAGTCAGAGTCATTACTAAGCTGACAAAATGTGTTATATACAGTACATCTGTGTAAGTTCATGACTTGAATGCTCTTAAGTCTGGAACTTACTGTATATTACAGAGGAATAGGTGGCAATCATTTTTCCTCATTCTCTAGGTTGTGTCTTCACTGTATTGATTATTTTTTTCCATAATTTTGTTGATAAATAGCAATGAGACAGTTTCAAATCAAATTGGTAGGACAGTTTCAATAATTCACACATTGCGTACATTCTTCCTAGTGGTTAATTGCTGTACAAGATGCAGACATGATATCCTAACACCATAAGAACAAATCACTCTATTCATTAAGAAAATGTAACTATATATCTAT